CGAATCATACGCCTTGTTCAAGTCGACGAAGCACATGTAGAGCGGTAGTTTCTTCTCCGCCCCAGCTCCTGGAGGCGGCACACGCCGAACAGCATGTCAACGGTGGATCGCCCGGGTCGAAATCCACACTGTTCCTCCGGGAGGAAGTTGTTGGCTTCGCAGAAGGCGCTTAGACTGTTGGTGATGATCTTGATGGGGACCTTACCCACGTGAGATAGTAGCGAAATCCCCCTGTAGTTGTTACAGTTGGACCGGTCACCCTTCTTGTACAGCACCTTGATGGTTGCATCCTTCCACTCTCGCGGAATACCTCCTCCATTCCACGCCTTGCCGAGGATGGTATGGAGGTGTCCCGGGACGAAGGGTTCGTCGTCATCGATCTTGAGCAACTCGGCAGGGAGGGAGTCATGGCCGGGTGCCTTCCAGTTCTTGAGGCCTTTCGTTGCCCGTGCCACCTCCTCGAGTTCTGGCACATCTCCCAACCGTTGAGTGTCACGTGTCGCTGGCCGCTGCGTCACTCGTTCGATGATGTCTGGGTTCAGGGTGGGGGATTTGGTGTTGAGTAGGGTGCTGAAGAATCTCGCCCACCGCTGGAGGATGTCGTCCCTGTTCCGGAGCAACACGCCGTTCTCATCCGCGGCGAACTGCTGTCCCCCCACTTGCCTCCCGCTGAGGCCCCCGATCTCTTGAGGCGATGGTACAGTCCTCGCATGTCGCAATCTTTGTGGATTTCTTCGAGTTCAGTCATATATCTGTCCAGGTGGGCATAAATGCCCGTTTCGACTGCTGTAGCCACTCCCTTACACGCTGCTTTGAGAACCCTCCACGTCGCTGAGTTCCAGTTGCCCCTCATCGCCCGGTGCGCTTGCCGACGTTTGTTAAGGGCCTGCTCTAGCGCTGCTCGCTTCTCTGGAGTCTCACACCACTCCTGCGTGCGGTGTCTCCGCGGTTCCTCCCCCAGGGTCGTTCGCGCTGCGTCGAGGAGAGCATTGGTAAAGTCGGTCGCCAATTCCGCAGCGGTGGTTATTCGCTCGGCCAGTCGTGTGTCGAGGTTGAGGAGGAACCGACTAGTCACCGCACACCGTGCTGCTTCGAACTGCAATTCCCGTCGGTTAAATTGCTTCTGTTTCGGTTTAGTCCGGACTGCACGGTTGTGGGCAAGCCTGCCACAGAGGTTGACGGTGCCTACTACCATATTGTGGTCTGAGTCTGCTTTGACTGGGCGAACCGGCTGGGGGATGACGACCACGTTAGATACTCGGCCGTGATGTGCCTGCCTTGTCAGGATGTAGTCAAGGCGCTTGCAATCGTTTCCCGACACACCGTTGTATGTGTGCCATATTCCGCCCTAGCGTGTCTCAAAGAACGTGTTCGTGAGACCTAGCCTGTTTTCCGTTGCGAAGTTCAACAGCAGTAGCGTGCAATGGTTGTTGAGCTCATCACGCCCGTACATTCCTATTACCCTTCCGTCCCCTCCGCCAACCTATCTCCCGTCCGCGCGTTGGCGTCCAGTATGACATACACACATTCTTTGGAAGGGATCCTCCGCACGAGACTGTCAAGTTTTCCCCAGAACACGCGCTTGCTGTCGGCGGTTGAAGGTTCGGTTGGAGCATGCGCGGCTACGAAGTCGACCGCTCCATGGTGGCCTGCCAACAGGAACCTCATGGCCATAAGGCGTTCGTCGATAAACTCCGTAGTGAACGTGGATGTCTTGCACAGTGACTCTTTGACGGCTAACCCCACACCATGGACTCCACCAGTCTCCGTGCCACAGCAGAACACCCGGAAACCCGCTGCTGCAAATTCCGTTCGATCTGCCCTCCGTGTCTCCTGCATTCTCACCGCCACGTATTAATGTCCCCGGATCCAGCACGTGTGCTACACGCCTGGAATAAGTAGGAGAGCTGACCAAGGACCAAGTGGCTGGAAGATGGTCTAGGCCTACACCAAGCTGTTGGCTAAAAGCGCAGCCTAGGACACACAGCGAAGAGGACGACGCATTCTGAAAAAAGTGTGACGCGAACCAAACAAACATAGACTAGTCTATACTGCTATGATTATGTATTTTTGTTCGATGCGTCGAGCAAATAATTGGTTGGGTCGGGGAGCCAGCGACTGCGCGTGCGTGATGACCAAACAATTTCGGAGGGGCAGTCGGGGCTGTGAAATAAATCTCTCGCCAGTAATCGACCGATGAGGTGTCTCGGCTGCCAACGAGCGATGACAATCTCATCCTTTACACAAATGATATTTCAACAACTAGACTACACACAACGCAACAACACACGACGGCTGATGACCAACACATCGACCTATTATAGTACGAACTGGGTGGACTGGCCCGGGCCGGGATCCCCGGGGAGATGATCGCCGTCATCCGCAAGTTCCACGTCGGAATGCGGGCCCGGGTCCGCACGGACGATGGGGAGCTATCGGACTGGTTCCCGGTCACGCAGGGATTACGACAAGGGTGCTCAATGTCCCCACTGCTGTTCAACGTCTTCTTCGCAGCGCCTCTCGAGATCATTGTCACACGGTTCAGCCAAGATGAGGTTATCGTGCGGGACCTAGTGTACTTGAAGGAGGAGGAACGGAGGGGGGAGGGATTGCTGGACCGAGTCCGGAGGGCGGTGTGGGGGATGCTATATGCCGACGATGCCGGCGTTGTGTCGAAGTCCGCCGACGGCCTGGCGAGGATGATGACCATTATCGTGGAGGTGTTCC